AATATCATCCCAGATGTTTACAGTTTTTTCAGATACAACATCCATCATTCAATAATAATAGCAATAATAAAATTTCCAGACAGACCAGGAGTCAGAAACAAAAGAGAGAAAAAACAGACAATGGTAGATGGATATTAGTTATTCTGATATTGTATTTTGTATTTTAAAAGAATATGTCCAAGAAACAGAGTAGCTGGGGACTTTAGACTCAAGAGAGGGTTTCAAAATGTTTGCAGAATTCCATTCTCTTTCAATTCATTTTCTCCAGGGACTTTTTGCAGTCCTTTCATCCACGACAACAATAGCACAACAGATGATAAGAGATTATGTGGACCTTAAGGGATGTAAGGCCTTATTACCTAGGAAGCAGTAAAGGTACATGTTCATATTATATTATAATTAGCTTAATCTCTAAAATAAATAATAAAAGATGCACAATTGATAAGCTAATAATAATAAATCTAAAACTCACTGCCATCAAGTCAATTCAGACTCTTAGTTACCCTGCATAGGGTCTGAGACTATACATATTTATGGTAGTAGACAGCCTTAGCTTTCTTCCATAGAACAGCTGGTGGGTTTGAACTGCTGACCTTTTGATTAGAAATCCAGTGCTTATCCTACAGCACCACCAGGGCAAGGCAAAGATGTTATTAAAAAAGAAAATTATAGACCAGTATTCTTCAAGAACATAGATGCAAAAATTATCAACAAAATCATAACCAACAGCATTTAACAATAAAAAAATAAACAAAGCCATCATGACCAAGTGGGATTCATACCAGTAATACAAGAATGGTTCAATGCTAGAAAAATAATCATAACCCACCACATAAATTTTAAAAAGGATCATATTAATCTATACAGAAAAAGCATTTGATAAAATCCAACTTCCATTCCTGATTAAAAAACACTCAACAAAATAGGAACAGAAGGGAATTAATTCCTCAACACAATGAAGGACATATACACAAAACCAATAGCCAACATTAATCCTAATGGAGAGCAACAGAAAACATTGCCCTTACAAATGGGAATCAGACAAGTATGCCCTTCATCACTACTCCTATTCAATATTGTATTGGAAGTCCTAGCAAAAGCAAGAAAGGAAGATAAAAGGCATCCAAATTGGAAAAGAATAAGTAAAACTATCTCTATTTGCAGATGATATTTTCCTATACATAGAAAGTCCCAGAGACTCAATAAGAAATCTACTGGAACTAATAGAAGGATAAAAAAACATGTACTGGAATAACCACAAAGTGACAGGGTAACAAATGCAGTGACATTCCTCTACACTAACAAAAAAAACTCTGAAAAGGAAATTAGAAAACCAATATAACTGACAATAGCCACCCAAAAGATGAAATACTTGGGAATAAATTTAACCAAAGATACAAAAGATCTATATGAAGAAAATGACAAAAGACTACTACAAGAAACCCAAAGAGACTTATACAAACAGAAGACTATAAAATGCTCATGGATAGGAAGACTTAACATGGTAAAAAATATCAATAGTATCCAGAGTGATCTATAGATAGCATGCAATCCCAATCTAGATTCCATCTTCATTCTTTAAAGCAATGGAAAAACTAATCACCAATTTTAATGGAAAGGAAAGAGACCCTGGATTAAAACAAAACAAAACAAAAAAAACACTGCTAAAGAAGAACAACAAAGTAGGAGACCTCACACTGCCAATTCTCAAAACCTACTACACAGCTACAGTAGTAAAAACAGCCTGATATTGGACAAGGACAGACACATAGACATATGGAACACAATTGAGAACCCAGAGTAAATTTATCTGCATATGGGCCGCTGATATTTGACAAAAGACAAAATGTATTAAATAGGGAAGAGGTAGTCTCTTTAACAAAGAGTGTTGGCAATACTGGATATGCAGTTCCAGAAATATTAAATAAGATCCATCGCTCATAGCAAACACAAAAATTAGTTCAAGATGAATCAAAGACCTAAACATAAAAACTATGTTGTTATTGTTAGATGCCATTGAGTCAGTACCGACTCATTTCGACCTTATGCACACAGAATGAAGCACTGCTCGGTCCTGGGCCAACCTCACAATTGTTGCCATGCTTGAGCCCATTGATGCTGCCATTTTGCCAATCCATCTTGCTGGGGGTTTTCCTCTTTTTCTCTGATCCTCCACCTTACCAAACATGAGATCCCTCTCCAGTGACTGGTCCCTCCTGACAATATGTCCGAAGTATGAGAGACAAAGTCTGGCCATCCTGGCCTCCAAGGAGCACTCTGGTTGTACTTCTTCCAACACAGATCTGTTTGCTCTTTTGGCAACTCATGGCACTTTCAATATTCTCCTCCAACACCACAACTCAAAAGCATCAATTCTTCTACGGTCTTCCTTATTCACTGTCCAGCTTTCTCATGCATATGAGGTTATACCATGGCTTGATCAGGCGTACCTTAGTCCTCAAGCTGACATCTTTGCTCTTCAACACTTTTAAAAGTTTTTTTTAAAAAAAAACCTAATTAGCAGATTTGCCTAATGCAATATGTTGTTTGATTTCTTAACTGCTGCTTCCATGAGTGTTGATAGTTGATCCAAGAAGAATGAAGTCCTTGACAACTTCAATCTTTTCTCCATAGATAAGAATGTTGTTTATTTGTCCAGTGGTGAAGATTTTTGTTTTCTTTACATTGATATGTAATCCATACTGTAGGTTGTGCTCTTTGATCTTCATCAGTAAGTATTTTAAGTCCTCTTCACTTTCAGCAAGCAAGGTTGTATCATCTGCATATCGCAGGTTGGTTGTTAATGAGTCTTCCTCCAATCCTGATGCCACGTTTTTCTTCATAGAACCCAGCTTCTCAGATGATTTGCTCAACATACAGGTTGAATAAGTATGGTGAAAGAATACAACTCTGTCATACACCTTTCTTAATTTTAAACCATTCAGTATTCCCATGTTCTGTTTGAACAACTGCCTCTTCATAGCGCCCCTATATAGGGTTTCCAAGGAGCAGCTGGTAGATTTGAACCTCCAACCTTGTGGTTAGCAGTCTAGTGCTGATCCGACAATGCAACACTATGTTAAGTGAACTAAGCTGTACAAGAGGACAAAAATCTATGAGCCCACTTATCTGAAGTCATATTCATAGGAACAGAAAGTAAAACAGTGATTACCAGGGGCTAGGGAGCAGAAGGAATGGGGATTTATTGCTTAATGAGTAGCGTTTCTATTTGGGATGGCGGAAATGTTCTGGAAATAGATAATGTCTATCTATTGTGAAGGAGCTCTGGTAGCTTAGTAGTTACGAATAGGGATGCTAATCTCATGGTCAGCAGTTCGAAACTACCAGCTGTTCTGCGGGAGAAAGATGAGGCTTTCTGCTTCTGTAAAGATTTACAGCCTCAGAAACCCTGTACAGGGTCGCTATGAGTCGGAACAGACTCCACGGCACATACAACAACAACAAATTGTGAAGTATTTAATAAATACCACTGAATTATACACTCAAAAAACAGTTAGCATGGTAAATTTTCTGTTGTATATGTTTTACCACACAAAAAAATGAGGGGAAAAGAAAAGAGGATATTTTGGTGGAAATTACAAGCTAATTCCAATAATAAGTTGGAAGACTTGTATGACCAGATACTTATATGACTATATTAATTAGACAATGTGGCCAAGTGTGTCAGTTCCAGTTAGGGCTCACAACCACACCAGTGTCTATCTCGCATGAGCATGCTCTTGAATATCTTAGTCTCTGTGTTTTACCTTTGAACATTAGGAGCCTGTGAGGGTCTCTGTTGGTCTCTACTGTGTTCCCTGCAATCAGGTCTGGTTCAAAGTGGACTCCAGGGAATTCTTGCTGAATGAATATCTGAGCAGGCCAGTGAAGACCCCTTCCTGCAGAGACTGACTATGAAGGCTCATGGGCTGGTAAATAGAACCTGATAGTCTATTGGAGTGTGAACCCCAGATGGGCACAGAAAGCAAAGCCTGGGTGAAGAAGGATCAAACACTGAACGGGTACCTGGTTCTATCACCTGTAAATGGAGGCCAAGGGACAGGTGAGCCATACGTTGTTGGTCAACTTGCCGGGCTGGTAAATGTCAAAGATGAAGTAAGGCTGGTTGATTTCCTGGCTGGGATTGCAGGGTACAAGACAGGATTCCACCTGCAGTTCAGGCCGCATGCGGCTGAACTGCATCTTCTCCTCTCTCAGATAGAGCCTGCAAGGCATGGGTTTTTCTAGAGGCTCCTTGATGTAACAGTACCCCAGGCGTTTGTGTTCGCCTGGCTCCCCACAGCGGTTACAGTCCTGCCAGGGTTCCCAGTGGGTGAAAATGAGGACCGTACCACCCAGGTTCAGGGTCTCATTCTGTAGGGGTTTTTGACCCAGGTCTTTATGTGTAATATGAAGGGTGGTAATGTCCTGGAAGTCAATCTCAAACTCTACCACTAGAAAATTGTCATTATCTTTGCAGCTGTAAAGGCCTGTCTGGGAGGGCTGTGGGTTGGTCAGTTGTAGGCTGCCTCCAGGCAGTTGCTTCACATTGGACATTGAAGACAGTAGAAGGCCATCCTCCCCATGAATGGAAGAGAAGTACCAAAGTGCCCTGGGGTGGTCACATTGCAGGACAACATCATTACCCGAGAGTAGGGCCAGCTCGCAGAGACTCTTGTAGGCACAACTGATTAATATCTGGGCTCCCAGAGTCGGGAGAAAAAAGCTAAGCAGCCACAGTGTGTCCAACATGGTGAACGAATGCTACATCAGAAGGAAAAGAACCATCTTAGCTATTGTGAAGTCATTCACAGAACTCAGGCCTCAGCTCTGGGCATTCCATCAATGTCATCAAATAGCTTGATGTAGGTTGCAAGGACAAAATCTCTATCCACAGGTTATCCACAGGATAACTCAGCAAGTGAACCAAAAGGCCAAGTTATTTGTACTCCACATACCTAATATTCAATGTGGAAAAGGTCAAGATGGCTTCATGGCCATCAGAAACTGGAAAACGGAGAAACACACAGTAATCCCTGATCTATACCATTTCTAAACCCCAGTGGGCAGGTACAAAGTTCCTCCTATCTTGTCCTGGTGTGGCATTGTGGGTTAATGCACTGAACTATAAAATCGGATTGAACTGCAAGGCCGGCGGTTCGAACTCGCTCTCTGCTCCTCAGAAACCCTATACAGGTCAACTGTGAGTCGGAACGGACTTGACGGCCTTTAACAACAATCTTGTAACTGGAGAGAGTCCCGTATCTAGCTCCAACTCTGCTCCTTTGGGCTGTAGGGAGGGACTTTCTCAACCTTTTTCTCTATGGCATGACTCCACTCACCAGGGAGATGACTGCTTTTCAAAACATTATCCTTTTTGGCCACATCTGAAATGGTATTTAAAGAGATATGCCCTCCTTACACCAGTCACTCCTCAGAAACCCCATATATGAGGGTCACTGTGAGTCAGAACCAACTCCACGGCACGTAACCACAACAAGTATCTCAGCATGTTTCCTGAAGTTTGGAACCCAGGGTTCTAGGTTGACCTTCAGTCGATTCCATATGCAAAACAGCCTCCACAGTTATGTTCAGGATCTCTCTCTTTAATTGGGTTGTTGTTAAGTGCCATGGAGTCAATTCTGACTCATATCAACCCTGTGGAGTGTTTCTGAGGAACAGCTGGTGAGTTTGAACCACGGACCTTGCTGTTCAAACCGACTTTGTGATCGAGTGCTTCTCTTTCAGTGCCAAACCTTAAAATCTATCAGATATCTTTGGCGAATCCTCACTTTGATCTCTCTTTCATGGGCCCATTTTGTCCACCAGTAAGAATTTTCTGTAAATTATCCAGAGATTTTTAATAATGGTTAATCCTGAATTAACCAGTAGAACAGTTTACTGGTTGGAATAAACTCAACAGGAATTATCATCAACAACAACATACTTTTGATTTAGACTTGCCTAACACTGAGTTTTAGAGTTCTGGTGTGGTGCTGTGGGTTAATGCACTGGACTTTGAACTGCAAGGTCAGTGGTTCAAGCTCACCAGCCACTCCTTGGAAAACCTAAAAAGGGTCATTATGGGTTGGAACTGACTCAATAGCACTTAACAACAACAACACTGAGTTTTAATTGGCCTTTGTCTCTCAATGGCCTTCTCAATTTCTAGCCAACTTTGGGCATTAGTCACTCCTGATGTTCTGAATTCCAGTTGAGCCCCTTAACGCTGTAAGCTCATTAAATACATTATATGTATGCCAAGCAATAGTTCCCATCCTTGGGACTCCAAGTAAATTTCCTTATTCCCATTGTCTTTTAGGAGTCCTGGTGTGGCACTGTGGGCTAATGCATCAGACTGCAAAGCCGTTTGAACTGCAAGGTCGGTGGTTCAAGCTCACCAGCTGCTCCTTGGAAACTCTATACAGGGTCATTATGGGTTGGAATTGACTCGACGGCATTTAACAACAACAACGTTGTCTTTTGTCTAATGCTGTGTGTTCATGTTTTATTGTTACGACAATGTTACTTTCTATGTGGTTCAGCGTTCTGGCACCAACCCCTGAGCCTGCTTGGTCCGGTATTCTGTGTTGTTGCTGATGGAGCTCTTCACTGCACTTCCTCCCTGTCCTCCATCTTGCTTGTTTTCTCTTTCCTGTCTTTTTTATTGACCATTTGTTTTCTTCATGTATGGTGTTCTTAATGTCATCCCACATCTCTTCAGGTCATTTGTGTCTAATACATCAAATCTGTTCTGGAGATGGTCTCTAAATTCAAGTGGGATATATTAAAGGTCATGTTTTTGGCTCTTATGGACTTGTTTTCATTTTCTTCAGCTTGAGCCTGTACAATTCTTCAGCTTGAGTCTGTTCAATAGTTGGCCCCTGTTCTTGCTTTGGCATCATTTGTATCACCAAACCCACATTCCCAAGTACAGATCTTTCCTCTTTGTCTCTAACTTCTTCATTCCAGTCACCAGTAATTATCAATGCATCTTGATTGCACATTTGATCAATTTCAGACTGAAGTAGTTGGTTGCTGTTGTTGTTAAGTGCAGTCGAGTCAGTTCCAACCCATAGCAACCCTGTATAAGGTTTGCAAGGAACCTCTGGTGATTCTGAACTGCTGACCTTGCAGTTCTAACTGAAGTTGAGGTCAAGTGCTTATCCTAATTCTTCAATTTCATCACCATTGACTTTAGTGGTTGGTGTCTAAATTTGAATAACAGTGATATTAACTTAGCTTCCTTATTGTTGTTGTTGTTCAGTGCTGTTGAGTCAGATCCAACTCATAGTAACCCTGTATAGGGTTTCCAAGGAACAGCTGGTGAGTTTGAACCACCGACCTTGTAGTTCAAATCTACCTTGTAGTCTGGTGCTTTATCCCACAGCACCACACCAGGTCCTCCTAATAGATGTAGTGCTATTATCCTATCACAGACAGCATTGTACTTCAAGATACATGATGAATGCAATTCTATTCCTCTTCAATTTGTCATTCCCAGCATAATAAATCATATGACTGTCTGATTCAAAATGGTTAATACCAGTCCATTTCAGCTCACTAATTTCTAGGAATATCAATCTTAATGCATTCCATTTCTGATGATTTTCAGTTTTCCTAGATTCATACTTGGTACATTCCACATTCCAATTATTAATGGATGTTTTCAGCTGTTTCTTCTCATGTTGAGTTGTGTCTTATCAACAAATGAAGGTCCTGAGAGCTTTACTTCATCCACATCATTAAGGTCAATACTACTACAAGGAAACAGCTCTTCCCCAGTCGTATTTTAAGTGCCTTCCAGCCTGAGGAGCTCATCTTCTAGCACATAACACATAATGTTCTGCTACTATATATAAGGTTTTCAGTAGCTAACCATTCAGAAGTTTTCAGAAGCTAACCATTCTGTCTCTCCTCTTCCTAGTCTGTCTTTATCTGGGAGCTTTGCTGAAACCTGTCCACCCTGGGTGACCCTTGTTGAGAGCTACAAACGCCATTACAAGATGGCACCGACCTCAACTTCCTCCTTCTTGTTTCCTTGTCTTTCTCCACGTGTGCGCAGGCGCTGAACTCCACTCGTTGTATGCTAATTAGGCATTTTTCTACCGACCAATCATGTAACCAGTCATGTCCCGCCACGCCTTCCTTTGAGAGTATATATTCTCCTGCTACTCCCTTACCCAACGTTGTCCTCCGCCACCGCTAAAAGAGCTGTAACCGCAAGAAGAGCTGTAACAATAAACTACTTTCAGAAGAATCCTGCTTGTCGCGTCCTTTATCGGCGAGGGCGCGCGACAGACCCTGATGGTATTTAAAATAAATTGCAGGAACACAATCCACCACAGTCCAACAAGCCGACAGTAGAGTGGTAGATTTTGCCCATAGTGGTGGTGGTGATAGTATGCCACTGAGACAGTTTCAACTCATAGCAACCCTACATAGGGTTTCCAAGGCTATATATGTCTTTACAGGAGCAGAAAGCCTCAACTTTCTCCTGTGGAACGACTCGTAGATTAGAACTACTGACCTTGCAGTTAGCAGCCCAGCTCATAGTCCACTGTGCTACCAGCACAACTTGGATTTTGCTCATGGAATCCTTCAAAATTCCAACCTAAGGCTTGAATTTTGTCTTTAGTGTTTTCAGCTTGAGAAATCCTGAGTGTCATCTTCCCTTTTGGTTTTCTAGCTTTAGGTCTTTGTACTTTATCTTCTCGAGCTGCCATTTGAAATTTTCTGTTCGACTCTTACTTGATCATTTCTTTCAGTTACTTTAGCTTCTCTGTATTCAAGAGCAAGTTACAGAGTCTCTTCTGACATCCATTTTGTTCTTTATATTGTTGTTGTTGTTGTTGTTAGGGGTCATCGAGTTGTTACCGAGTCATAGCAACCCTGTGCACAGCAGAACAAAACACTGCCCGGTCCTGGGCCAACCTCACAATTGTTGCCACGCTTGAGCCCATTGATGCGGCCACTTTGCCAGTCCATCTCACAGGGGGTCTTCCTCTTTTTCTCTGACCCTCCATCTTACCAAACATGATATCCTTCTCCAGCGACTGGTCCCTCCTGACAATGTGTCCAAAGTATGAGACAAAGTTCTTAATATTAGTAAGTTAAAACTTTATAATATTCATTTAAATATATAATAATAAAATAAAACTTTGTGCTAGAAAGTTAAAATCATTTCCAAAATCCTCCCATAAGCTTTCCCCAAAAGTCCCGTTGGGCAGGACTGGGTCTCATGCCAAGATACAAACGAGTCCCTGAAAGGAAATGATCTTTTCATAGCTGACTTAAACCAAGTAGAATTTGTTTCCTAGGATTGTGGAGGGGTAACCTTCTTTTAGAAGTCCTGGTATGATGCTGCAGGTTAATGGACTGAACTCCAAAGTCGGTTTGAACCTCAAGGTTGGCAGTTCAAGCTCACCAGCTGCTTCTCGGAAACCCTATACAGGATCGCTATGGGTTGGAACCAACTCAACAGCACTTAAGAACAACCACAACAACCAACAACCACAGCAACCAGCAACAACTATCACCACCACAGCACAACAACCTTCTTTTACCACAGAAGTCATTGAAGATCCAAACAAAACCAGGGCTTTGAAAAAGCAGTGGGGTTGAAGAAAATATTTAACTGGTATCAGCAGCTTTGTCTGTCACAGTATCCACTGATAGGAAAGATCAGGATTGAGCTATGTGTTCTTGGGCAAGTTTACGACACTTACTGAACCTCAGTTTACTAATGTGTT